CTGGAAGGCAATAGTAAAGGTTATGAGATACTTGAGGTATACTCGTGATCTTGGACTGCACTACGGGAGATATCCCGCTGTACTTGAAGGGTATAGCGACACAAATTGGATATCTGATATTAAGGACTCTAAGTCCACGAGTGGCTACGTGTTTACACTAGCCGGTGCAGCCATTGCATGGAAATCCTCTAAGCAAACTGTGATAGCTAGATCCACGATGGAATCTGAGTTGATAGCCTTGGACAAAGGTTGTGAAGAGGCTGAATGGCTACGCCATTTTATAGAGGATATTCCTAATTGGGAAAGACCGGTACCTCCAATATGTGTGCATTGCGATAGTCAAGCCACAATTGGGAGAGTACAGAGTCATATGTATAATGGTAAGTCTAGACATGTGCCTCGTAGACATAATACCATTAGACAACTACTCACAACTGGTGTTGTCTCAATTGACTACGTAAAGTCAAAAGACAATATAGCGGATCCGCTGACCAAAGGGTTAGGCAAAGAAGTTGTGGAGAAGTTGACACGAGGAATGGGTCTAATGCCCTTAGACTAAAAAGTTCAATAGTGGATACCCAACCTAGCCGGCACCTAGGTTCAATGGGAAAACTAAATTATGGAACGGAGCGCGTCACTGTGGGGGTCTCGGACTCCCTACCACTCCTCGTTAAAACAGTGACTCTCGCACGAGGTTAGCATGTTAATGCTTTAATGATTCTTGAGTATGCGGGATACTCGAGAAAGAATCACCTATGTAAGACAGAAGTGAGGGTCGTTTCAAAGGAGAATTGTTGGGCACAATTCTTTAGAAACTCTCGCAGAACCAGGAACGGTGACCCACAACCAAAATGGGCACACTCGTGAGAGCAAGAGCATGGTTGGGAGATTCCTGTGTGAGATATGTCATCGTCTACACAAACGACAGTCGGTTCAAAGACATCGCGTTCTACCGTACAGCCAGTAGAGTAAACATGTCTTCACAAGGGAAGGTTCAAAGGGTATAGTGACTCCCTACCTATCCTATGCAGGGATCGACCGTTTGAACACAGTTGTTTCCGATTTCAAAATACCCCGAAAATCAATTTTTCATTCCTGTGGGGGATTGTTGGAAAAAATAGCTTAAAATGACATAAAATGGCATGTTAAGTGGCTATTTTGTGGTACAATTATCAGTGGGGTCCACTTCCGATTTGGGTCGGGTCAAAGTGGATCGGATTCTTCGTAGTGAGACGAAGAGATCGATATATTGTACGCTCGAAACGGATAATGGGTGAATGAGATATTGATTCTCAAAGTAGACCCATTTGAGTTGGAAAATGAAGGAAAAAAGTGAGCTTTTGTCCCACATTGGTTTGGAAAGAGGATTTGCCCCCCTTATATACAAGAGCTCTTTTGAAGCTTGTAGAATTGTATAGCATAGAGGCTCTCTCGCGCGGGGCGGGGGGGGGGGGGGTGTAAATCAAATTCCAACTAGACGAGATTGAAAAAAGCTTGATTCAAGCCCGAGCTCGTGTGCGCCAGCACCTGTGGGGCTAAGTTATGCCAAACTTCGGTATCATTTTCCAACCGGTATAGTCACTTGGTTCGGCCGAGACCAGAGCACCACTCTCGTGTTACAGAGAGCACGAGAGGTTGTGGTGCACCGAGAGCACAACTCTCGTGCAACGGTGACCACGAGAGGTGCAAAGGCCGACACTGGCTAAGGTCGAAAGTTGGGACCGAACCCTGCACGCCAACGGTCTGGAACCCGAAAGTTCTGACTGTTATGGGGATTGAATTCATCTGTTATGGAATTAATATCCTATTAACTCCAATTTTGAATTCTGAATTCAATTCCCAGGTAGTGGCCTGCTGTTATAGCTGTTGGAAGTCAGCTTTAATGTCAGTTTTCATTGCCATATTAAAAGCTATTGAATCTTCCACCCCTATATAAGAGAGGCAGTGAGATGCAGATTTTTACACACAAGAGCACAAGCACTCTACACGAAACTTAGAGTTTTCAAGCCTCAAAATTCTGCTTCTACTCCTTCTCTTTCTAAGCCTACTGTGTTCGAAACCTTGTCTTGCTCGCCGGATTCTTTGTTTGAATGCTCAAACATTGAATCATAGCAAGTTTTATCCTGAGAAGCCTGGGCCACAACGATTCTAGCATCTTTGGGAGGTGGCAAATAAGGTTTTAAGGAAAGAGTGATCGCTTGACTCTTGCAAAAACCCAACACCAAACACGAGCCAAAATTCTCCATCTTTCCTTCCCTATTTTTCCAGAAAATAATAATCTTTTTTTATTATTATTTGTTTTTCTACCAACGGTTCCAACATAATCTTAGTAAGAAATATAAGTTTTGTATAAGATCGTCTCACGTGAGGCTTGTAATATTTTAAATTAAAATGAGAACTTTTGTTGTTTTCAGTTAGTTAAGTTTACTTTAATCTTTTTTACTATTTGCCTAGTACAATTTTTTTTTGTTTAGTTTTCTATTTTCTTTTCTAGTGTTCAAATATTCAATGATGACTGATGAGCTACCAATGGGTAAAACTAACAGATTATTTAATTAAATTTATAGTATTGTAAAAACGTTTCTTCTTGTTTTTTTAAAACATACTTTTCAACGTGAGACACTTAATTTGTTACCAAATTAAATATGCTCATTTTCACCTAGGATCTTATGGTCCATTGGTACCAAGTTACTCCCTTACGTGGGAGGTAGTGGGTTTGAGCTTTGGTGAAAACGATTATGGTGATATTTTATGTAGTAACTATAGTATCCTCTTCCCTTATAATTAAAAAAATATGCTCATTTTCTTAATATATTTAATTGGGTCACTGTAAATATACATTAATTTTGGATATATAACGGTTTAAAACCGCTGTCTTTCATATATAAGTGTATTCTTCAAATTATCGAGAATACAGCAGGTTTCGACTACACACAATAGATAACGGCTGTTGTTTTTTGTAAAGACAACAGTTTAAAACCGTTGTTTATGGGCGTGACTTTTAACAACAGCGGTTTCAACAACACACAATAGACAACGGTTTTTAACCATTGCATTTTCTAGAAAAGATAACGGTTAAAAACCGTTGTCTATGAGCGTGACTTTTAACAACACCGGTTTCAACAACACTCAATAGAAAACGGTTAAAAATCGTTGTCTATATGCGCGTGACTTTTAACAACACCGGTTTCAACAACACTCAATGGACAACAATTCAAAAACTATTGTGTTTTCAATAAAAGACAACAGTTAAAAACCCTTGTCTATGTGCGTGACTTTTAGCAACACCAATTTCAACAACACTCAATAGACAATGGTTCAAAAATCGTTGTCTTTTCTAGAAAAGACAATGGTTAAAAACCATTGTCTATGCACGGGACTTACAACAACACTGGCTTCAACAACAAAAATTTTACCCCTACGACAACAGTGAAAAACCGTTGTCCATTTTTCATGTAGTGTGTGTGTGTGTGTGTGTGTGTGTGTATATATATATATATATATATATATATATATATATATATATATATATATATATATATATATATTTGTGTGTGTGTGTATGGATTAAATGCGAACATGCCTTCCCGTGCGGACGTGCCGTCATGCACTATATATTAAGTATACATAAATGGACCATAACATGTTCAGAAATGTACAAAGGTGAAATGCACAAATGCACCACACCCTAGTACACATTTCTGAACACGTTGTAATGTATTCTTACATACCTAATGGTGCATGAGACGAGTCGAGATTTTCATAAGTATTACTCTTCATCTCACAAGTATTATGATTTCCCCATAAGTAACTCTTCAACTCTTAAATACTACATTTTGATTTAAAAGTATTAAATTTTTTTCTCAAAAGTATCACATTTTTCCTAATAAGTATTACATACATTTTCCTAAGTAATAATCAATTTATCCATGATTTGTATTATACTTTTCATCATAAGTATTATGTTTTTTCTCATAAGTAATTATCAATTAATTTATAATTTTATTAGTGTTATTACACTTTTTTTTTTATCATAAGTAACTTTTCAACCACTAAATATTACATTTTTATTTAAAATTATTACATTTTTTTCTCAAGCATCCCATTTTTCAAGTATTACACTTTCGTTCATAAGCAATGTTGCAGAAGGCGCTAGGCACTTGTCGGGTGCTTGGGGGTGCCTAGTGCTTAGAGCGTCTAGGCACCGGCGACTGCGTAATTCAAGTATATTATCTCCACTTTTTCCACTCAGGACTAGGAGTTGTTAGACTGCTATAATGCCCCAAACTAGTCATGCATATGTTAGATGATTAGTTGAGTACATGGTAGGAGAAATATAGAAAAGGAGTAGTCGAGTATGTAAAAAAAAAAAAAAAAAAAAAACACTTGCCCGAGTTGAGTGCCAACTTGGTTAAATTGGATACCGACTCGGTCAAGTTAGGCACCCAACTCGACAGCTAGATCCAAGTCGGTCGGTCGACTAAAAGTCGATTAGAGCTAAAATCGTCTCGGCATAGGGATGCCTAGCGTCTAGGCCGATTTTTACAACAATGCTAATAAGTAACTATCAATTTATATCTGATTAGTATTATATTTTTCATCGTATTATTCTATTTAAACCTGACCCATCTTACGAAATGGGATCCGGGAGGCCGGTCTTAGACTCACCATCAATGAAGGCACATGATCCTAATATCCCTCAATTACATTTCCTATTAAGAGTAGTGATATTTGTTTGTGATGATGTGATTGAAAATTGTGCAATTATCTAATAATGTCAAATTAGTTCGTGCGATTTAACTTGTTCGACCACGGTCCACTTAAACCGTCTATTCGGATAGAAGACTAAAGACAATTATCAAAGCCTTAATATGAACTTGCAAGATCATTGCGAATACTCTGCAGAAAATAAGCCGGAAAGACTACGTACTCAATATATTGTACAGAGAGAGTTTGTTTTCCTATAAATAGCTAATACATTTAGAGCCTTCTCATAATCAAAACACATCACTCATTCCATACCACATATTATATATCTCTCTCATGGCTGCCCCAAGCTCTGGTTTCAGATTGATTCTTGCAGCCCTTTTCCTGGTGGGGGCGTGGGCATCTCAAGCCACTCCCACAACCCCACAAGAAATTTCCATGTTGAAGCGCCATGACGAGTGGATGGTTCGCTATGGGCGTTCATACAAAGATGACACGGAGAAGGCAAAGCGATTCAAAATCTTCAAAGAAAACGTGGAGTTTATTGAATCGTTCAATAAGGCTGGTACCGTGTCTTACAAACTCGGCATTAATCAATTTTCTGATTTAACAAATGAGGAGTTTATGTCCACCATGTCTTGTGATGATAATGCACCCCTACGCCCTATGCCTTTAAAACCAGTTCCCTTTCCGAATGTGAGTTTGGATGAATTTCCAGACCATTTGGACTGGAGAGAGAAGGGTGCTGTGACTAATATCAAAGACCAAGGAACTTGCGGTAACTATTAAACATTACACATTTTCATTTCCTTTTATGACATATATACATACGTACCAAAAAAAAAAAAAAAAAAAAAAAAAAACAACAATTGATTTTGTTGTTTGGTTGCTTGAAAATATGGATCAGGTAGTTGCTGGGCGTTTGCTGTGGTGGCGACCGTAGAAGGAATACACAAAATCAAAACAGGCCAATTAATTTCCTTATCCGCACAGCAACTCGTCGACTGCGACCTCACAAATAAAGGCTGCACGAGCGGAAAAAGACTAAAGGCGTTCCAATACTTAAAGGACAGCGGCGGCCTCGTGACGGAGTCGGACTACCCATACGAGGGTGTTCAGCGTAGTTGCAACACACAAAAGCTTCGAAACCCAGCTGCCACCATTACACGCTACCAAAGCGTCGCCCCCAATGAAATAGCTCTCCAAACCGCCGTCACAAACCGGCCTGTCTCAGTCGGAGTCTTAATAGACGAAGCAGTGTTCAAGAACTACCGGGTCGGAGTTTTCAGCGGCATCAACGGCACCGGCAACTGTGGGTCTGGAGTCATCCACGCTATGACGGTCATTGGGTACGGGACAAGCAGTGAAGGGGAGAAGTATTGGTTGCTGAAGAATTCATGGGGAACCGGTTGGGGCGAGAATGGTTATATGAGGATGGCCAGAGGGATCAATGATGCAGGAGTTTGTAGTGTTAACAAGTGGGCTTCTTACCCTACTGCTTAAAATATTATAAGAATTATTATTGTTACAAATCCGTGGCTGTAACAATTAAAATTATTAATATTTTTGAAGTACGTTCTGCAAAAAATTCATTACAAATCCGTCTCTATATTTTTGCATCAAAATTTGTTGCTAATATTGCTACCTATTTAACAATGAAAATATTTCATCGCAATATCCATCGTAAATCCCCTGCTAATTCGTCACTAAAAGTCTATTTAACACAGAAATTAAAATCCGTCATTAAGTTATTGCTATTCCGTCGCTAATTTAGCAACATAATAGTTCCATCGCTAAATTCGTCATTATATTTAACCAGTCATTGAGTTGGAGAAAATAGAGATTGATCTTTAACCACCCTGATAGACGGGTGAGAATCGGGGTCGGGCTGCCTGTGAAGGCAAAGGGAAGCGATTATCCTAGTGCTCCAGGAGTACAAAATCATCTTTGCTTGGGGACCGGAGGATGTGCAAGGAGTTAACTGGGCAATTATCACACGTAGATTGGTTGTCGATTTGAATCACAAGCAAGTCATGCAAAAGAAAAGGTATATCTCGATCGATTAGAGGAACTTCATGAAGAAGGAGGTTGAGATCTTAATGGCAGTCGGCGGGCACATTCGTGAGGTAAAATATCCAAAATGATTAGCCAATGTGGTGTTGGTGCCCAAGCCACCCGTTTGGCGCATGTGTGTGGACTATACATATCTTAATAAAGCTTGTCCAAAAAGACCCATTTTTGTTGCCCTACATTGACGTGATGGTGGATGAGACAACTGTTAATAAAATGACTTCATACAAAAATGCATGTTATAAAGGTTCACTTTCTACTCCTCTCTATTGTTAAAGTATTGTGGAACAAAGCAGTTGTTCACTACTCAAGCATGCAAAATACTGACTAGTTCAAGGCAGTTACACTTACAGAGCAATTTTCGTAGATCATCCATATAAAGGGTATCTGTTATTCTTCAAATGAGAGGTTTTTCTTAGAATTTACAGAGAGAAGTCAATACACTTAGAGGTTTCTTTGAGCTAAACTGATGACTTGATCATCATGTTCACTGAAGCTGATTAGAAATCACATCAAGTCAAATCTCATCAATCTTTATTGGTCAAGGGCGGATAACCCACATGGAATTGACTGGAGTCAAAGTAAGCTGCAATTTAGGGGGAGCCTCAATTTTGGATATCGGAAGATAGTTAGCCAGTTCACCAAATTGAGAACTCTTCAACCTAGCTAGCTCCTTAGCGTTGTTAATTGATTTGTTGAATCCATGTTCTAAAGTTAATGAGGAGTTTGACCATTTTTTTCATGGGATGTCCCCTAGATGTAGGAAGATGAACCCTCCGAACTAGGTTATGAAAACTTGAGTGTTCTTTACTGCTTTCATTTTACCTGCCTTTTAATTATGTGAATCACTATATACTGTTAGTTTTGTGAGTAGTTTAGTGAATGTTCATTTAGGAAACGTTAACTACTTAATTGAGTTTCTCACTTGACGATTTGATTAATACTTAGATCTGCCTTAAGTAGTCAAACTCTTGGCAATTGGCCTCAAGAAGGTATCCTGCCCCGAAAAAACTGACAGTGGATATGGATCCTGATATAGCCATGAGGGGAGGGGGGGGGGGGGGTTCTGAGACATAATGATCCCTAATGGTGAGTGATAAGTGTATTTTTGACTATATTTTTATCCCTTCTTGAACCCATTTTATTTGTGAATTGCCTAAAAACTTGTGTGAATTATGACTAAGTTATGTTGGTTTTATTTCAAGGTGCAATCATTCACAACAAGGGAGGAATTCAATGATTTGTGGGAAGATACAAGCAATTTTTGGACCAAGAGATCAATCAAAGAGTTTGGAATGCATTTAGGAATTTTCAGGAGCCTCGTACCCCCTTGCGTACGGCCGTCCCTCATCCTATCCGAGGTCTCAAAAAGGAAGCAGGTGGTATACGCCCTGCCGTACGCCCATATGCCCATACGCATGCCAGTATGTCCATTCCAGTGAGCACTGGAATATTGCATACTGCCTTAGGGATGGTCGTCCCTAAGGCAGTACCTCTGTCTCTGTTATTATTTATGCGTTTTTCTTGGACATTTGGCAAGGAAGTTAGAACCCTAGAGAGCTAGAACTCATTTCTCTTCACTTCCTTTCATTTCCTTAGCTTAGATTAGTCTAGTATTACATCTCTAACTCATCTAGCAAGCTTGTAAACGCGGATTGGAGTGGGATTCAACTACAATTTCTTCATCTTCAATAGAGAAGCTTCTTACTCTTCTTTTAAAGCTTTTGTGCAATGTTTATGATATTTTCTTGTGCTTTGTTGTTATTTATGCTTAGGAAGTATGAGTAGTCCGTTTTTGGGCTCGGATTAGGGAGATATTGTTAATCTAGATGCTAAATAGGTGATTATAGCATAAGGGGGAAGAACCCTAACCTAGGGTTCATTTATTTGTGAAGGATTTATGTTGAATCTTGTTACTATTTGATACGTAACTCTTATTAACTTGCTTTTGGATAATTATTCTCCACAATGAAAGTTGGGAGAAGAACTTAAGCCTCTCCTTTCTCAAACTCATTTTCTTTCTATGAAAATAGGGAAGAATTGTGGGCCTAAATGCTTATGTGCTTTAAGAGCTAGGAATTGATACACCACGAAATTAAGTGGGGCGATCCTTGCTCTAATCCTTGTTCATTAGCTTATGAAAATGGCTTTAAGTTAGGATTTTTATGTGCATTGCCTTTATGATCCTTTGGATAATGTTCTCCACTAATCCCTAAGTTGTTAAAGCATCTAGAAGGCAACATCCTCTAATTTGAACCCATCTTTTATTATTGTGTTTACTTGTGTTTAGATTGCATTATCTTAACTAGACTTTTAGCCTTTAATTGTTGACAATTACTCAACCATGAATTTGAACTTGCTTGGATTCTTGTGGGTTCCAATACTTCGGTGCCTAGAATTTTAGTTGTCACTCAAGTACGTGCCATAGTCTCAATCCCTAGCGGAACGACAATTTTACACTCATTTACTCACCACCTCTTTTCTGTACATCAACTTTTCCTTTCTTTTCTCCCTTCCTTCACGCCACACACATACACTTCCCCTCTATTTTTCCCTGTTCGGCCAGTGTGAAACCAGAGCTAATATCTCCTCCTTTCATTTTTTTTGCAATTCTTTTAAGTATTCCAAGGTATTTTCTCCTGCTCTATTTAATTTTTTTTTCGGATTATGCGTTAGTTTAGTCTTGATTTTATTAACTAGTATGCTTTACAGTATTTTTTTTTGAAAACTGCTTTAGAGTATTTAGTTTATGCCATTTCTGTTTTTTTAACATAACTTTGGTCCTTAATGTATTTTTTTATCTCTATTGTTTTTCACTCTTTAATGCTTGCTACCCATGTTTAGAAAATCTACATTGTTCTTGTATGTTTCATGTGATCTTTTTGTTTGGATTTGTGCTTTCTTATCTAAATAAATAAATAAATAAATAAATAAAGCAAAAATTTGGTAGACAGCTTTTATTTTTAAAAAAAAAATATTATTCTTATTATTATTATTTTTGTTCTTTTCTTTTGCATGTCAATCTCTTTTAAATCAAAAAAAAAAAATTATTATTCTTTGTTCTTTTCTTTTGCTATCTTATATGTATATATTGCATCTCTACTTCATATTTGAGCACGCATTCCCAAGAATTGGTTAATTTTAGTTCCCTTATCCCATTAATTCTGTTATTTTCTTGAAAGATGAGGAGAACTAAACAGGTGGCAAAGCGTGATGCTCTAAAAACCTCACCAAATTAAATTTTGGAACAGACAAGCTCCATTTCAAAGAGCCATATTATGAAGCTAGATATATCCAATTCAAGCATAAACCCATTGCTGCAGTGGCAACAATTGACTTGAAGGCACTTAAACCTGTTGGATTGGATACATTGATTGATGAGTTGGTCACAACCCCAGAGTGGAGATACTTGTTGTTTGATTTTCAAGAGAAGCCACACATTGACATGTTGCATGAAGCGTTGGTCACAATGCAGGTGTTCCCGTTCACTCTCACAGCTTCCTGGGCAATAACCTTCAAGATGGGCAACACAAAGTTTGATTTCTCTTTGGATGATCTGAGCCGATGTGTGGGTTTTGATGCCTTACAAGATTTAACTGAATCCCAAAAGGATGCACGACACCTTGATGTCCCTAATGAAGACGAATTATGGCAGGAAATAGTTGAAGGGGATGTGGCACTGGAGTACTCCCGGAATACCAATGTTACATTCAAAAGATGGGAATACAAAGTATTGCATTATATTGTTGCTCATTCCATTTGTGCTAGGCATGGCACAATGAACCAGGTTTCTCGACCTGATTTTCTTTGCCTTTATGGCATCATTAAGAAAGAACCGACTCATATGGGTTATCTCCTTGGGATGCTATTTCACAGCCAGTACCAGTCAAATGCATGTGCATACTCTTTACATCGGGCCATTCTTGACTAGATTGGTGAAGGGTAGTGGAAAAACAGTGAGAATCTTAGGGCCATCATCCGATGGAGTGCATCAGATCACAGAACGCAACATGATCAACATTATGAGAGTTGAGTTAAGTAAGAAAAAGGGGAAGTTGTGAATGACTGATGAAGGGGAAGAGGAACATGCAAAGCTTGATGATAATCAGTTCATGGGAGAAGCTGTGGGAATTGGAGAGGGAGAATCCTCGGCAAGCATGACACCGTTTGAAATTCAAATGCTTGACCATATGAAGGCGATGCAGCTTGAGCAAAGAGAACAAGGGGCGCGTTTGGACGATACGTTGTATGCCACTGTCAACAACCTCCACATGTTTGTCATGGAGATTCGCAGTTTCTACCCACCAGAGACCCTACGGGTCCACCGCCTACCTTCTACCCTCATGCATACTTTCACCCGCCTGGGGGCCCTGACCAACCCTATGATCCTCGCTACCATGGATTCGGATGATGATTTTGTGAAGATGGTTCTTTGTTTGGTTGTGGTTTTGGTTATGGGATTGTGTTCAAAACTTTTGCTGCTTTAAATTTCAAACTTTAATTTTCAGACTTTATTTACCTTCAGATGCTTAGTAGTCT